AGTCAGCGTGGACCCTTCCCTGCTCCCTGCCAACTGGAAGAGAGGGGATGTTGGCAGCTCATCTCCAGCCCGCCCTGCCTGGGCCCTCTCCCCTCCGCCCCTCCCCGCCTTGGCACTTGCACTAAGCCTGTCAGATGTTCCCAGGCCCCACTGCTGACACGCACAGCGACTCTTGGCTTCCCTGCAGAGACAGCCAAATGGCTCCCAGCTTCTTGGGGGAGTTGAAAGAGAAAGCGCTGCGCGTCCTGGCAGCCAGTGACCCCGCTTCCATGCTTCCGGGACCTCGCTGCCAATGGGCTGTCACGAGACCATGGCCCAGCCTCGCTCTGGTTTGTTTTTGTTTGGGAGACACACCCAGTGGTACTGGGGTCGGGGGGAAGGGAGATGAGGGAGGTTGTGCCTAGTGTCATGTGCTGTGTGCCATGTGCAGGGGACCATGCAGTGCTGGGAACAGTACCCCGGGCTCCCACACGCGAAGCCTGCGCTCCAGCCCTCTGAGCCATCTGCCCAGCCGCTCGCTCTCCCGCTGGGCCTCTGTTTCCTGTCCTATCAGTGGAAGGTGTGGGCTGGCTCCTCTCTTAGGGTGCCCCTCCAGGGTCCCCATTCTGTGGGTCCCACTGCTCACGGATCCACTCCTACCCCCTTCCCCGTCTCTTCCTCAAATCAAAACAGAATTTGAGGCCACCCAGCAACGCCTTCTCTTATATGTAAAACAATTTATTTATTATATTTGGGGTTATTTAGGGGCCACATCTGGCAGTGCTCAAGGGCTACTCACGCCTCGGTTGTTCAGGAGTGACCCCTGAGGATCATCTATGTGGTGCCAGGGACTGCAGGATGCAAGGCAAGTGCCTTAAATCCAGTGTTCTCTCTCCTGCTCTGAAACCTTCTCTTTTCGTGGAAGAGGAAGATCCTGCATGCAGAGCGAGTAGCCGCCGCGTTCAGGGGCCTCTCTGGTCTCTCTTCCCGGCCGTGTTTTGACCGTGTCCTTGCTGTGAGCAGCAGAGGTACCAGGGCCAGCTCAGAGCACCGCAGTGCCTGCCTCCCGAGCTTCAGCCACTCTGAGCTCGACCCAGGTCCAGAGGCTGGAATTGCCCTCCATGGCACTGAGGACCACTCCGAAGCTGCAAAGTCATTTCCTAGACCTGCAGTTCGGGATCAGTCGTGTAGGGCAGAGGGAGCTACCTACCCTAGTGCAACAGGGGTTTAGTAAAGAGAGATGGAGCATTCTGCAGGTTGGGTCAGGCAGTGAGATGGGCTTTCTCCTCTGAGGAAAAGACCTTCAGGTGGGGTTTAAAGGACACTCAGGCAGGGTAGGAGCCAAGACATTCTGATGGGGGATTCTGGGAGAGGAACGGGTGGGAACAAAGAGGGGATCCTGAGCAAGAAGGTCTGCGCTAGAATAGGGAATGTGGGTGTGTGCCTGCAAGTGTGTGATGGTGGCTGAGCCGGTGAGCAGACTGATCGGGTCTGGGCTGTTGAAATGTACAAGTTCTCATTTACCAGTTTGCTTGTCCTGGTCAGAGATCTCTGGGCAGAGAAGGGGGGTGGGGCTGAGGGCTGCCATGGCATCACCCTCTTTGGGCGGAGGAGTTAGAAGAAAGCGGGTAGTGGCCAGGGCTTCCTGAGGACTGTGGGGGGTGAGAAGAGGGGGGTGCTCGGGACTTTCCTCGTCCCTTGGCCGACAGCCCCCTCCGGACCAAGGTCTGGTCTGGAGAAGCAGAGCACAGAGCCTGTCTCGGGCGTCTGTGTGAGTTCCTAAGGAGTGACATCTTTAATTTTTGTCTGCTGAGCCTCCATGGGCGAAGGGCCAGCCTGTGTTACAACCTCCCAAAGGTCCCTGGGCCAAGGCGCTCAGATCACAGTGGACAGAAATAAGGAATGAATCACCCACGCTGGAGGAGGCCCACCAGGATTCGTCTGCACCCCTGCCCCCAGTCTGGTGTTTGTGCCCTGTCCTGGGGGTCAGCGCCTGTCCCTAAGACAGCGTGGAGCCACCAGGTCCAGCTCAGTGCTGCCCACTGCCCCAAGGTTGAGAGTGAGCAGGGTGTGGCTTCTGGGCCCCTCTGGGCAGCTCATTCTAGGAAGACCCCCGAGCACTTCTCACTGTCTGCTCCACAAGCTTCAAACCTCAGCGCAGGGGGATCCTTCTATTGTAGAGGGCTGCAAGATGGGGACAGGCTGGAAGACGCCAGTATCCTACAAAGGAAGCAGCTTCCTGATCCCTTGTCTTAGCTCCTAGCACAGCCCCTGTAGACAGGGAGCTAGGGAGAGCTCACAGGGGGTCAAGTGCTGTTTTAGTGCGCCGGTGGCCAGCACCTCTGGTGTGTGGCCTTGGTGTTCCCCGGGCACTGCAGAGTGTGGGCACTATTCATTTTGGTGGGGCAGGACATGCCCCAGTGATACCAGGGTCCACTCCCAACTCTGTACTCAGGGGTGGCCCTATCGGTGCTAAGGAGACATTTGCGATGCCAGGATTAAACTGTTTCTGATGCAGGCAAGGGCAGTGTCTCGCCTTCTATACTAGCTTTCTGGCCCTCTATTCATTTTTTTAATTTTTGGGTCACACCTGGCCAGGCTTGGGGGTCACTCAAGCATGGTGATGCTGGGGGACCATATGGTGCCACAGAACCTGGACCTTCTCCATGAATGCAAGAGCATTCAGCCTCTTGAGTATCTCTCTGGATTGTCTCTGTCATTGTCACTGTCCTCCCGTTGTTTATTGATTTGCTCGAGCGGGCCCAGTAACATTGTGAGACTTGTTACTGTGTTTGGCATATCGAATACATCATGGGTGGCTTGCCAGGCTTTGCCGTGTGGGCAAGCTTGCCGGGCTCTCTGAGAGGGGCAGAGGAATCTATCTTGGGTCGGCCATGTTGGCTGTGTGCAAGGCAAATGCCCTACCTGCTGTGCTATCGCTCCAGCCCGGGTTGTCTCTATTAAAAAGAAAAATAGAGTCTAGGCTCTGTGCTGTCCTTCTATCCACAGGCTTATCTATCTCCTTGGGGGTTTTGAAAGGCTAATACAATGGGTTACCCCTTTCCTGCCCCCCGGCCCCCACCATAAGGCACTTTAAGTTCCTGAGATCCTACAGGGGGTGCGGATGGGGGTGAGAGGCAAGAGAAGACCTTTCAGGCAACCCCATTTCCCTGCTCAGATCTTTACAGAGACTCTACCTGGTGAAGCTACAAAAGTTCCCTCAGGAGTTTTTGAAGATTCCACTCCAGACAGGCTGAGGGTATTTGTGTGGGAGAACAGGCCACATCTGACTTTCAGCAGAGCATCTTCAGAGACAGAAGATGCAGGAAATCAGTTATTTTGAGGCTTTGCACTTTGAACCTCGCCATTGTGGAAATAGCTGGGATTTGGAGGTTCTGGAGCAGTCAGACTTTTTAGCTGAATTCTGGCTATGCTTCCAACTGTATGGCCTTGAGCAAGAGGCTTCACTCTCTTTGGATTTGGGAAAGAGATAACAATGCCAATTTTCTGCTGTGCAGATGCATCGTTTTGTCACTTCCCTCTTTTTTTTTTTTTGGTGGGGGGACAGTATACCTGGAGTTGCTCAGGTACCACCCCAGGCTCTCTGCTAGGGGCTGCTGCCAATGACATGGTGTTTAGGGAGAACATTGTGGTGCCATCAAACCCAGACCTCGCTCAGACAAAGCTTGTGCTCAGCTCTCCAACTTCATGTCACTTCTCTTAATGTCAGTGGGATAGCAGTAGCCTCAATAAAGAGAGCATGGGGCCACAGTGCAGTGGGTAGGACACTTGTCTTGTACATGGTTGACCCGGGTTCAATTCCCAGCATCCCATGTGGTTCCCCCCAAGCCCATTAGGGATGATTCCTGAGTAACACTGGGTGTGCCCTAAAAACAACAGAAAAATAAAAGAGAGCATGACTGTCCTGCTTTGGTTCACCTCAGCCCCACCCAGATGTCTGGGTAGGGGAATAAGACTAGAAGATTATTGCCACAATCACCAGCGTGGAATGGGCCTGGGTTCCAATAGCCCCACCAAGGCAGCCCCTAGACCTGCACTGGAGGTCCACTTGATCTCCATGGTGTGGGAACTGATGGAATCATTCAGGTTCTCAGGAAGTTGTGGACTCAGCCAGGGGAGTGGGTTCCTCTTTGCAGAATATCCTCAGTCCTGACCTCTGCCTGGGTTTCCCAAATTATCTGTTCTTGCATAAAAGAATTCAGGAGGTACCCAAGCACAAAAATTTGTAAATCTACAACTGTACCTCATGATGTTTCAGTAATAAAAATTAAAAAAAAAATCAGGAGGAGATTTGATCACGTGCCATCCTATTGATTTACTCAAGCAGGTGCCAGTAACATCTCCATTCGTCCCTGTCGTGTAATAGTGTAGCCCAATAGCGTATTGGGGAGTCTTTCGGGGTCAGGGGAATGAGACCCATTGTTGTTACTGTTTTTGGCGTATTGAATACGCCACGGGTAGCTTGCCAGGCTCTGCCGTGTGGGCGGGATACTCTCGGTAGTTTGCGGGGCTCTCCGAGAGGGACGGAGGCTTTTGGGGCGGCCTCTAATCGTTTTTACAGGTGTTCCCAGTCTACCAAATGCAAGCTTTTGGTTGACTGGCATGCTGCAACATTAACAAACACACCTGTTTGCGCCTCTGGCAGCACCTGGGACATCTGCGGCTCCAGGTTGATCTTCTTGAGGTGGATGGAATGCGCCTGGAGGTTATTGAGCAGCTGGCAGAGTAGGACCCCAACGCAGAGGGTCTGTGATGGGTCGAAACACCTGAGCTGAGTCCCAGGTCACCTGGTAGTTGGCGGACAGCACCTTGCAGTAGATGAGCCACTGCGCACACTGCTGCCACAGCTCCATGGCTGATGGCGCTGCGACTCGGCCTGGCCGAGGCAGGCAGCGATGCTGCTGCCACCGCAGGGGTTTATCCTTGCCCCTCTGATGCCATTCTGTCCGAATCCTGTAAAACAGCCAGCGATGTCCAGCAGGAATCACACGTAGAGTTCCATGCCTGGCGTGCTGAGCCGCACGCTGTCTAAGGCGAGATGGTGAGCTGGGGTTGGGATTGCTCAAGGGGTTCTTACCTCCAACCAGGAGGAGACAAATAAAGGAAATATAGGGATTTTAAAGGGGAGAGAAAATACACTCGAGAGAATGTGGGCTTTCTGTGTAAATAAGGCCAGTCCCTAGGCTGTATTAGGAGAAAGAATTTTGAGCCCCAGAAATCTACATTTAGAGTCTTTTGCTGTTGTTTGTTTGGGGGCCACACCCGGCAGTGCTCAGGGCTTATTCCTAATTCTTCACTCCTGGCCCCTTGGAGGGGAGCGGGTTGAGCTTTCCTCCCCGCCCTGACCAGGGCCCCGGCAGCCGAAGACCTCCAGGACCAGCCACCACCATGCTGAGACCACTCTCCGCACACCTGAAGGTACCGGCAGAGGGACAAAGCCACGCGGGTTCCAGGGCCGAGATCTCCAAGCCTACTCGGATTGGAGTCGAGCATCCTCCAACCAGATCCTTCAAATTCCAGTAGGCGGGGGTCACACCCACCAACTGGCCCCCTGGCGCCGTGTAATCCCATCAGCGGCCAAGACTCAGAGACTATAAAAACCTGCTCCTGGAACCTGACATCTTATTATGACATCTCATTCCTACTTTGACAAACTGGCAGGCTACATTCGGTAGCCTGCCCACACGGCAGAGTCTGGCAAACTCCCCGTGGCGTACCCAATATGCAAAATACCAGTAACAATGATGGGTCTCATTCTCCTAAAGAGCCTTGAATATAATCTCAGGGCTAGGATGAAGGAGGCGTTACTGGGACCTGCTCGAGGCAATCGACAAATAACAGGATGATTTGTGATTTGTGATTGTGCCACAATCATTCCTCGCTGTCTTGGGGGGACCATATGGGACACACAGGATGGAGCCAGCTGGGTGCAAGGCAGGCTTCCTACCTGCTGTACTGTCACTCTGGCCCCTGCATTCAGAGTTTTCTCAGCTTAGTTCCTATTGCATTAGTAACCCGAGGGGATCCAGACGTCAATCTGGGCTGGGTTCTGGGCCATCTGGAACTGGAGCCTCTTGTAAGTCTGGCTCAGTCATTTGAATCCCTGCAGCAGATCAGGGCAAGACAGCTCCTTCTCAGACCACATCTTGGTTTTATTCCATCCGAAACTCATTGCCAGGAGTCCCCTACCTGACTCCCTGGCTCAGCTCTTCCAGACCGCGAGGGTCGAGATGAGCCCGGCTGGCTGTGGCACGCGGGGCTTTCTTCCTTCTCCTTGGGAGTGGGAATCAGACGCACGGAAACTCGCGCCGTGATGACCTCTGTCTGATGGGAACCCAGGGGACCCTCCAGCTGTAAACAGACCTGAGGAGGGTGGGATGTAACTTTGTGTGTGTGTGGGGGGGGGGGAGACAGGGAGGAGGCTAAGACAGCAATTCCCTGTGGCCATCAGCGTCCCCCCACCCCAAACAGCTGTGACTGCTTCCGGTTCCCAGAGCCACGAAGCCAGAGGCCGCATCTGGGAGCCAGACACGCCAGGAGTGAGCCGGCTTCCGAGCTGTGGTTGCGGGGAAGTCACCCTACCTCTCTGGGCCTTCATTTCCTCATCTGCAGCATGAGGAAATCATAGCATTTCCTTTAGAAGATCAAACGGGAAAATAACTGTCTAAACTTAGCAGAGGGCCTGACCTGGTAGGTACACTTCAGGTGCTCAAGATGTAAGAGCCAATAAGTGGGGTATCCATCACTGATGCCCCCATCCCTGGGCAGAGGGGGCTGGTGTAGGTGGCAGGAAGAGGACCCTTTTCTTCCTTTTAAAATTATTATTATTATTTTCTTGTGTGTCACACTCAGCATTGCTCAGGGCTTACTCCTGACTCTGCACTTATGGATTAATTCTGGTGGGGCTCAAGGGACTCATTTTCAGGTGCCAGGAATCGAACTCAGGTCGGCTGCATGCAAGGCAATGGTACCAGGTCCTGACCTGCTGTACCATCACCTTGAAAGAGGCAGCCTCTTTTCCTCTCCAAATAGGAGAGTGGAAGCCCAGGGCAGCTCAGGATGAGCTTACTTTGTAAAAGACAGAGCACTGAACAGAGAGTCCCCAGCACCTGTGGCTTGACGGAAGCTTCCCCCCACCCAGCGTCTGAAGAAGAGCATCTGAGCGCAGCCAGCTTCAGTTCCTTCCTTTAGGTACCCGTGGATTTGCCAGGGAAGGCCAGCTTGGTTCTGAGCAAGGAAGAGGAAGGTGGGGACAGGAGCACCAGCCCCTTTAAGAAAGAAAGAAAAAAAAATGCCCCAAATTCCATGTGGATGCGGGGCTCAGCAAAGGGAACAGGAGTGCAAGTCCTTGTTTGGGGTCCTTATTTACTGAATTAGTTCAGGTTCTGGTGTCGCTCTGGCCGCCAGCATTATTCCAGCAAGACATGGGAAAGCAATTAGTCGGTTAGGGGTGTCCAGCAGGTCCCTGGGTCCTCCCCCACCCCCTCAGGGGCCACAGACCCCTGCAAACCCTCTCCACTGTAATCCTGTGGCCTTGGGACTTGCTCTGCAGGATGCTGGAGAGGATTCCTCCCGGAGATGGGGGAGTTGGCACCTGATGAGTCGGGCTAGGAAGTGATACAGGGTGAGTCAAGGGCCTTTCTGGAAAAGGTTACCCCTCCTCCTTTCACTGGGCAGGGAGGGGAGAGTGGGAGAGAAAGTTCTGCCAAGCCCATGTCCCCCAGGGAGTTGGGGAGGGGGCCAGCAGGCAGTAGGAGGGCAGTGGAGGGGGGTGGCGAGGGCGTGGGGTTCCAGTGTGGGAGCCACGAGCTCCATCCCTGGGGGGTGGGGAGTGGAGCAGTTGGGGAGTGCAGGTGGGATACGACCACAGGCTGCCTCCTGCATCTGCTGCTCATCAGCCTGTGATCTCCGGCAAGCTGGGAGCCAGGCCCAGCCTCAGTTTCCTCCCATGTTCATGTGGAAAGCATAACGCCGCCTTTATTGGGTTCAAAGAGCCAATTTCTGTAGCATGCGGAGCCCGGGGCTGGCTGAGACCAGAGAGAAGGCGCCCTAAATTTTGGCAGCTTAAAAAAAAAAAAAGAAGAAGGAGGGGCTGGAATGATAGCACTGAGGGTAGGGCACTTGCCTTGCATGCGGCCGGCCAGGGTTCGACTCCCAGCATCCCATATGATCCCCTGAGCATTGCCAGGAGTGATTCCTGAGTGCAGAGCTAGGAGTAACCCCTGTGCATCGCTGGGTGTGACCCAAAAAGGACAAAAGAAAAGATAGAAGGAAAGAAAGAAAGAAAAAAGAGAAGAAAAGAAAAACACCCCCCCCCCCCAAGTGTTTAGGGGATTGGAGTTTCGGAAGGGCTGATCCACAGGCCCGGACAGCTGTGGGGAGTGGAGTGGTGGAGGAAGGCGCCAGGCAGGGAGGAGGTGCCAGTCGTGGGGTAGATTAGCCGTGGGCCCCTGGGGAGAGCAGGGTGGGGATTTCCAAGGCCCACTTGTACTCACCCAGGAGTGGGGGCGGGGAGGGAAGCGTGCCTGGAGGCAGGTTTTGGCTGAGGCGCAGCCACTAGAGGCTGAATGGGCGGCCGGCTTCCAGCAGCGCAGACGGAGCCGTATTAATGATTTGGACACTCGGGAGGAAAAAATAGCTCAGGGACGAGGATGACGCCAAGGTTTCTGGCCTTGGGAGGCTCCTGGGGATCTGAGGTGAGTCTTGGAGGGACCGAAAAGAGAGCTCCTGGAAGAACTGGCCAGGTAGGAGGACAGGAAGGAAGGAAGCTCAGGTTTGAAAGAAGGTGTCAGTCGCTGGGGATTCAGAGGGCGTCCGTCCCTACGTGCAAGCTGTGGGCTCCGACGAGACCTTCCCAGGCAGCCAGCGCTTGAATTTGGATCATAACGACACCCAGAGTTTCACAGCCTCCCTCTAAAAAGGGGTCTAGGGGCTGGAGTGATAGCACAGCGGGTAGGGCATTTGCCTTGCACGCGGCCAACCCAGGTTCGATTCCCAGCATCCCATATGGTCCCCTGAGCACCGCCAGGGATAATTCCTGAGTGCAGAGCCAGGAGTGACCCCTGTGCATCACTGGGTGTGACCCAAAAAGCAAAAAAAAATAAAATAAAATAAAAATAAAAAGGGGTCTAATACAGCAGGGAGGGTGCTTGCTTGATTTCCAGCACTGCACAGGAATGACCCCAAGCATGGAGCACCGCCAGGAGTGATCCCGGAGAGCAGAGCCAGGTGTTAAGCCCTAAGCACCACCCGTCCCCAGACCACAATAAATCAAATCAATCAATAAAAATGGTCTAAAGGTAGCAGGGCAGCTCCTGTCGTTCAGTGAGCATGCTGGTAGTCACCAAGCTCCCGCCATGCTCTCTCTGGGCTGGGAAGCAGGAACAGGGAAGGCAGAAAATAAGATGCTCCTTCTGTGCGATTCCTGTGGCTGGGAAACCAGGCAATAATGCTTCTGCCGTTTGTGGAATGGGTTTTGCATTTCTGCAGAATCTGCCACAAAGGACAGAGAGACTCCCCACCTTGTCACAGTGCAAAGAGCACTCGACTCTGGGCTAAAAGCAGAGCAAGGAGAAGCCCCCACTCCCCACAGAACTCACCCTTCAGTTCCAGCCAGAGGAAAGGACTGGGGTGGGGCTGGGGATTCCCCAAAGGTGCACCAAGTGAAGGGGGCTCCCAGAAAACCTGTTACAGAGATTGGGAGGCTCCCAGGAAAGACCAGCCTGACTCCCCACAACTCTCCCCTCGCTGATGCTGGCTGAGTACCTAGGAGCTGCACGCATGCTAATATACCGAAGCCCACTTAGAAAGTTCTGGGGAGAACATGAGTTGTTTTGGGAATGGAGGTTGGAATGGTTCTCAGCCAAGCTGGGGGAAGAGGCCTCTTCTTTTCCTCCAAGCAGGGGAGAAGCAGCCATCAAAGGGGGCACAGACAGAAAGGTCCCACGAGGGGCAGGAGGCCTTGGGGTCTGCAGGGAAGGTACAGAGAGTGCTTTTCCAGAGCAGGCTTGGGTGAGAAAACGGACCTGCAGGGGCTATCCAAGGACCCACAGGTGCCCATGAAAGTGGCTGCCCTGCCCAGCCTGTCCACCACATAAACAGGACTTGATCACTTTTAGCACCTGTCTATCCCCTGAGCCCTGGGAGTCAACGCAGAGACAGGCCATGCCCACTCACCTCCCTCTAGTCTCTGGGTGGGAGATGGGTGCAATGGGTGAGACTTTGACTGGACAGGCCCAGACTTTTTTGATACTGAAATTGCCCACAACGGGGGCTGAAGTGATAATACAGCAGGTAGGTCTTTTTGCCTTGCACGCAGCCGACCCAAGTTCGATTCCCAGCATCCCATATGGTCCCCTGAGCACCGCCAGGAGTAATTCCTGAGTGCAGAGCCAGGAGTAACCCCTGTGAATTGCTAGGTGTGACCCAAAATGCCAATATATAAATTAAAAAAAATAATAAAAAGTAAACTGTCCACCTCAGAATGAGACTGTTCTTGTGAATCTTGGAGAAGGAAAGCCCAGGGCCCTGCTCAAGAGGTTTTCAGGGTAAGAAGGGAAAGTCAGCAGCGGAGGGTTGATGCTTAGGGCAACAGGACAGAGCAATGGGAGAATTAGTTACACGAATAAACAACTGAGATCACTCTGGCTAGTCCTTAGCGCAGTGAAGGTAAATGGGGTTCGTGTCAGAAAGTGATGATTTGGGACTGGGAGGGCTGCTGGGGGATGGGAGGTACGTAGTCAGGGATTGGATATGTGAGCAAGCCAAGAGAAGGGATTAGGAGTAAGTTCTATAAAAAGATAAAACCCTGGATCCACAGCACCCCAGATGGTCCCCTGAGTCCTGCCAGGAGTGATTCCTGAGCACAGCTGGGTGTGGCTTCCAAACCAAACCAAACTGACCAACAAACAAAAAAATCAACAACTCTGGCCAGACGAAGCTGAGCCAGAGTTTCTGGTTCCCCGAGCCCACCAGAAGGAATTCCTGAGCGCAGAGCCAGGAGTAAGCCCTGAGCACGACTGGGTGTGGCCCCCAAACAAATACAAAACAACCCCCCCTCAAAACTCAGCACTCTGGATAGAAAATTCAGTGGGCTGGGCTCAGGCTTTGCATGTAAAATCAATTCTGTCCCACCCCATCCCTACCCCATGCCCTGTACCACCAGGAGTGACTCCCCGAGCACAGAACCAGAAGTCATCCTGAGTGCTCCTGGGTGTAGCCCCCTCAAACAAAAAAAATAGTAGAACAAACGCCAAAAGTCTTGGAGACAATGCTTTGGAGGCAGGATGGTCCTGCTCTGGGCAGTGAGGACTCTGTGCACTGAGGCTGAGAGGGTCATGCAGATGTTGGGAGGAATCAGAGCATCCTTTGCAGAGGCACTTTGCAGCTGAGGACAGGACAGATGCCCTAGTGTCCCCTTGGGCGTGAGCTTAGCCGTTCCAGCAGTTGGGCAGTATGGGTAGGTGGACACTGGCACCCTTCTTTTTTACCTGCGCTCCACTCATGCCTCTCCAAAACTGCGCTCCCGGAAGCCCAGGGTGGCAAGGCCTTCGACTATGAAGGACATGAGAGAAGGACCAACTGTTGGGGCTGGCAACTTGCACCCCTGCCTCCTCACTGTCAAGCCAGGAAGATGCCAGCTGATGTGTGCGGGGACACACACACACACACACACACACACACACACACACACACACACACACCACAAACACTCAGAGCAGATCAGAGCAGCTCGGTGAGTTCCCAAGCTCCGTGAATTCCTAAGAGGGTGACTCCCTGGAGGGAATGAGGGGCTGATGTGGGAGTCCCAATAAAGGGCCTCTGAACCGGGAAGCCGGATTTCATTCCCGGATTTCATTCCCGGAGTCCTGATTTCATTCCCCCACTGGCCTTACTCCAGAACGCCCAAGTTCATGCTTCTGCGGAAAAAGGGATCCGGCCAGCCGTGGCCTCCTGCCCCCCACCTCCCCCCACACCCAGGCCTTGCGATCCTGACGCAGCAGGAAAGGGATTAGGATCCCGGAGCGGAGGCGGCGGGTCCCTGCCAGGAGCGGGAAAGGCCAGAGCGACCAGCAGAGGGCGCGCGCCCCCCAGCCGACCTCTCCCTGCTCCCGCGTTCGACCGTGGCGGTCGTCAATGGGCAACTCCGCGCTCGCCCGCACCAGGGAGGGCGCCCCCCAGTGGCCGGGGTGGGAAGCGAAGGGTCTTAGGAGCCAGTCGCTCGGGTCCTGGGGATAGGGGTAGGATGGGGTGGTCTTGTCGTGTCTTGGCACCTCTCGCGGCCGCCTTCAGAGGCTGCAGCCTCGGCCATCCAGGCGGCGGTGCGTCCCCGAGGTGAGGGACCGGAGGTACATCCAGGACAGGTCGACAGTGGGAGCTGGTGCAGGGGCAGGGCAGAGGCGCCCCCCTCCCTGGCCGACGTCATCCTGTCCCCCCCACCACCACTCTGTCCCAGTCCTCGGGTCAGCCCTGGTTAACCCCAGCTCCTCACGGGTTAACCCCCCTCGCCGCCCGCTCGCTTCGCGGTGCCAAAGTGGGTGTTGCTGGAATTCCTCTCTCCCTCTGCCGTAATGAGGGGGGCTGAGCTGTCCCTCCGAGGAGGGGGCATGGTGTGGATAAAAGAGACGCGGGGTGAGGGGGGAGAGGAAAAACCCGGGAGGAGGTGCCCCAAATAAAAGCCTCCGCTCCCCCTGCCGAAGGCCACAGTGCCGGGGGAACCGGGCTAAGGTGCTGCGGCGGCGGCGCGCGCGGCTGGAGGCTCGGTCGGTGCGGGCGCGGGGCTGCCCGGCGAGCCCCCCGCGGTCCGACTCCACGTCTAGGGGCGCAACCCCCCGCAGGTCCCGCGGCCGCCCCCCACGCACCATGCTGCCGCCGCCCCCAGCGCGCTGGCTGCCGCTGCTTCTGGCCCTGCTGGCCGGCCTGGGGCACGCCCAGCGGGACCCGGTGCGCGGCTCCGAGCCCACGACGGGCAGCCGCCCCGCCGCCGCGGCCAAGGTGTACAGCCTGTTCCGCGAGCAGGACGCGCCCGGGCCGGGCTCGTGGCCGGCGGAGCGGGTCCAGCCGGCCGGGGGGCGCCCCCGAAGGCCCGGCGAGGCGGAGAACCGGAGACCGGCCCGCGCGCAGCCGTCCCCGCGCCGAGGGCAGCCACCTGCGCAGACCTGGCCGCGCCGCCCGGGACCCTCGGGCCCGCAGCAGCCCGCCCCGCGGCCCCGCGCCGCCCCGGCCCGCCCGCGCCTCGGGACCCCACCGCGGCCCCGGGCCGCGCCCCCGCACCCGCCGCGCGCGCGGCTCTCGGGGTGAGCACCGGGCCGGGCAGCTCGGGGGACGGGGGACGGAGGACGGGGAGGGAGCGACGGTCGGGGGTTCGTTCTGGGGTGCGCTGGGCCCTGGAAGGGAGCACCAGACTAGACGGGGAGGGTGCGGAGGCCGGACTCTGTCCCTCCCGCATCCGGGCGGCGGGGGATGCTCCCCGCGCCCAGGTTCCCAAGCGGGCGCTCCGTATCCCACGCGCCTTCGAAGACTCCGCGGTCCTCGTGGGCCAGGCGAGGCGCCCGCCGCGCGCCCCGAGCCCTGCGGGAACCGCACACGGAGCGCGGGGAGGGGGAGCTTGTCGGGGCTTTGGGGTTGCGGAGCGTGGGGGACGCGGGCGAACTGGGGCTCAGGGATGCAGGGAGGGGCGGACGTGCGGGTTGGCACGAGCTGGGCAGGGTGCGGTGGGCAGGAAGCCTGTCCCGGGGTGCCGGCACAGTGGGGAATGGGTGGTGGGGGGGTTGGAGGGTTGTGCTTGTGCGTTGGTGCCTGGAGGTGCCCGCACCGAGCGTCCTCCGCACCTTGCGGGTCTGAGCCTCCCCCCTCATGTCCCTTTTTGCTCTCTCTGGGAAAAGGGGCACTGGTTGCATGCCGGGGGGGGGCACCCCCAAAGCCTCAGGAGTTATTCATCGGGATGGCCCTGGTGGAAGGGCGCCAGGTGTCTCCAAAATGGGTGCCTGTGGTCGGGAACGACGCTGGCAACCCCTTTGGGCTGGGTCTGACTTACAAGTGGGTTGACTCTTGCACCCCGCTATTCAGCCCCGAGGACGTTCCGCCGGGCTTTGCACCCTCCCACGTTCAAGCGGGAGCCCGCTGCGGAGTGAGTTACTGGACCGGGTCCCCTGCGGGTGTCGTTTGCCCCTTTCCTGTCGGGTCTGGGCTTTACTTCTTAAGAGCCCCCAGGGACGGGCTCCACAGTCCGGTGCTGGGAGAACCGTTCAATGACTTTCAATCATCTTGAGAAAGGAAAGAATGAACTCGCTTTCTAGTACCGGAAGCTTCCTGCCGTGTTCATCCAGGAGCGGAGCAGCTCAGAGGAGGCCACTCTTGGGCTCCGTGGACAGAGGGCAGGGAAGCAGCGGGGAGGTGACAGACGGTGCAAAGAGTCCAGGGTCAAGAGACTTTCACTGTTGTCCCTGGCCTGGGCCCGATTGCAAGGCAACCCAGGAAGCTATGGGGCTGGGGGCACAGTCTGGGACAGGTCTTGGGGGACGCTTTCTGTGGGTGGTACTTTCCAGTCCAACCCCACGTGGGGGGCTTGGAGGCATTTAGGCAGTGTTGGGGGTCATAGAGGACTGGCTTGGGAACGTGCAAGTTGTGAACTTAAGTGGTGATGAGCAAAACATTGTCCCCACAGAAAGGCAGGGAGATGGGCGCAGATGTGTGCAGACTTGGGCTGTGCCGAGCACAGGTGAACATCCTGTCCCATTCTGGGGTTGGCACTGCCTCCAGATTCTCTTTGGTTAAAGTTGGGTTCCCCTGGCACTGGTTTCAGCCCGCCCCTACAAGTCAGCTGGATCCGGACAGAGTAGCAGTGTTTCTTGTCTACTGGCTTCTTCTAAGCAAGGTCATTAGGGCTAAGGGCTTGTGGCCAGGTGGACCACTCCGGTCATGTGAGCTGCTCAGGGCCAAGGACCAAGTGCCATCTGCTGGTAGAACTTAGAATCGTGGCACTAGGAATTTCATTCCTTCAAATGTTTGCATTAGGCACTGCAAGAAGTGTACCAGCTTGGGTCCTGGGGAAATTGTGGTGCCGTGGGGATCTGTTGCACGTGATGGGTATTTTAAACATGTGCCAGGCACAGAGCTAGAAAATGACAGTTTGAAGGGGACTTCTATTTTTTTTTATTTAAAGTTAATTTTGGGGGAAGCATACCACGCCATGCTCATGAACCATTGCTGATGGTACTTGAGGAAGTCATGAGGTGTTGGGAATAGAACCCAGGACCTCACATATGTAGGTTTTGCTACCCCCTCCCCCAGTGCTTAAAGGGATTTTAAAAGCTATTATTTTCCTGTATTTGGTATTTCTTGAACTTGCCTCATGGCATACCACGTTCAGAATATTTTCCCTCTTGCTTTATTATTTTCTTTAGATCCATATACAGTTAAAAGAAAATTCTGTGCTTGATTTTTTTTTTGCCACACTTGGCAGTGTTCAGAGATTACTCCTGGCTCTGTGCTCAGGGGTCACTCCTAATGAAGCCTGAGTGACCATATAAGGTATCAGACGTTGAAACCGGGTCAGATTATCCCTCTGACCCCTTGTTTGATCTATTTGAACTTCTTCATGTTATCAAATTGTGTACATATAAAAGATATTATTAATAATATATCTTAGGGCAGGATTCAATCCTGGCATCCCATATGGTCCCCTGAGCACTGCCAGGAGAAAGTTCTGAGTGCAGAGCCAGGAGTATCCCCTGAGTATTGCCAGATGTGGCCCCAAAACAACAAACAAAAAAGTCATATAACTCAGAACCTAGCTTTATCAAACCTGAATATTTCAGTCTACTTTGCTTCTTTTTTTTTTTTAAATTAGGGGCCATCGCCTGTGATGCTAAGTTCAGTAGAGCGGGCTTCATGGTTGCTCTGGGGGGTCACAGGACCACAGTCTGGCAGTGACAGGCCAGGGATTGAACCAAGGGCCTGGGTTCTACTATTTACACTAGCTTCCTGGCCTGCTTCTGACTTTTTCGTTGAAATTTCTCTATAAATTTGCTCCCAGTCTTCAGAGTGAACCATCATCCTGAGTTTACTTCTGAGTTTGATTTGTTTTTATGCCATTGTTGCAGATGCATGTGTTCATAAGAGAAACAATATTGCCATGGAGCATCTTAGTGAATAAGTGATACCAGATGGGACCCCAACCTGCTTCCTCTCTACCCCTGTCACTAGAGTAAAAACAACTTTTCCTTCTCAGTAGATTTTTGAGATTTAGTCACATTAATTTAACTAGCTCAGGTTTATTCATACGTTAATGGTTGTATATTATGCCACTGTCCGAATATACTTCCGTTTAAGTACCCATCCTCTTGTTTTTGGACATTTCTCTGAGCTGTGTTTTTTTAAATTTTTACTATTACTCATGGTCCTGAAGTTATTTTTCTGCATTTTTTTCCAAGGAAACTTTGTATCAAAATTGAGTGTTGAAAATAGTATACTTGAGGCTAGGGAGATAATACGGTGTGTGGGGAACTTGCCTTGCATGTGACTGACCTGAATTTAATCCCTGGCACCCCATTTGGTCCCTGGAGCCTGCCAGAAGTGATCCCTGAGCACAGAGCCAGGAGTAAACCCTGGGAATTGCCAGATATTGCCCAAAATAAAACAAAAGGAAAAATTCTGGAACTGTAGTGATAGTGGGGAGGGCACTTGCCTTGCACGTGGCCAAACCAGGTTTGATCCCTAACACTGCATATGTTCTCTGGAATCCTTCCAGAAGTGATCCTTGAGCTCAGAGCCAGGAGTAAGTCCCCATGACTGAGTATACACCCCTACACTCCCTCCAAAAAAATAAAAAGAAAAAACCCACCAAGAAACAGTACCATTTGGGGCAGATAGTACAGTGGGTGAGTTTTTGCCTTGCTTGTGGCTGACCTGATCCCAAGCACCCCGAAGAGTCACTGGAGCCTGCCAGGACCCCAATTTTTTTTTAAAGTGTGGCCCATTTTTTTTTTTTTGGAAAAATGTGGCAGCAAATTTTTTTTTTAAAAAGATGAAGTAAATAGAATTAGTTTTTTAAAAAAAGAAGTAGTTCTAAAGAGGAATCAGCAAGGACCCTCAAGACCCCAGGGAGGAGACAAATGCTGCCACCCCTCCCCCCCCAAAGACAATCAGCCTCGAATGATGGCAGCGCCAACAGTCAGGGGGAAGAGATGTCTGGGGTGACTTTACACCAAGGAGGGGACATTGCATCTGAGAGTGTCGGAGTATGCGAAGGATTTCAGTTGGCAGAGGAGAGAGGAAAGGGAGGCTTTCTAGGCAGAGCAACTTACTCGGAGGCTTCCAAATGTGACCATAAATGGCGCAGCTGGGCATCGGCCAGCCTCACATCCTTGGAAGAGCCCAGCGCTGACTGTGGACAGTCTCAGACATGAGCAAGGATTGGGGAGACATGCTTACCCACTGGCGGCCTCTCACAAAGGAGTGGTCTGACTAGCACCTGTCCCTGACTGTTAGCTAGATGGTGCTGGGTCTGGGGGTTCGCTGAAAGGGGTTCCCGGGTTCAGCCAAGACTCAGAACCACAGATGTCTGCCTCCACCAGTCAGGTCAGCTGTTCTCGAGCTGGCCAGAGTCAGCAGGTCTCTCTCCACTGACCACTTCCTGAGCCTGTGGCTGGGACCAGTCCTGACGAGAAAGGATTCTCCAAGCTCCCTGCTGTGTATCTGACGCCCTGCTCACTATCCCAGAGAGCGGTCTCACTGCTAACCTGGCAGCCTTTGATTCTGGCCAGCCCTTCCGGGGGCTGTAATGGCCTTAAGGGACCCACCTGGCTGCAGCCCCTCAGATACCCCTGCTTCCTCGCCCAGCCCTCCCCAGTCTGCTCACCGCCCTGAGGGTGGGAAGGAGGCAGACCCTTCCAGGAGGTTCCCAGAAACCCAGCAGAGGAGTGTGTACCCCGGAACCAGGAGAACAGGATCCTAGCGGGAAGCAGGATTTCGCAGCCCAGTAGCTGCTGAAGGCACTGGTCCATAGAAGCTTCCAGGTGGCCACAGTGGCATAACTCTGGACCAATGGGACATCCTGGGAGGCAGCTGGGTTGAAAGGGCAGCTTTCAAAAGCCGCAGGGATTTATTCTGAATATTTTATAAGGCTCCCTAAGCCACACAAATGTGGGGATTCACTCAGATGTCTAAGTCACCCTATATACTCGCCATGCTGGCCACGGGGGCAGCATAGAGCCCCCTGGCTCTGACCTTTGTCTAGTTCCGTGCCCTGCACCCCACTCCTCCAGTCTCAACATATTGGAAAATACTTTCTTTACCTTCGGGGTTTTTGAAGCACACCGCAAGTGCTCAGGACTTCCGCCTGTCTCCGTGCTCAGGGGTGACTCCTGGTTGTGGTAGTACAGTGATGGGGGTTGAGGCAGGATTGGCCGTGTGCAACGCAAGAGCCCTACCCACTGTACTATCTCCTTCGCCCTGCAAGACAGTCTCGAATGACCTTGATTGAGTTCACAAAGCCAGAGCCCAGCCCAGCCTGTGCCAGGGAGGCAGGAAATGCCCAGAAGTCTCCAAGAGGGGCCCCCTTTGTCAGGGTCCTGGCCAGTCGACCCTGACACACTGGAGTATGATTCCCCAGAGTCGCCGGACTTACTCCCTATAGGAGAGGGAGTGGGCAGGAGAGACGCCTCTGCCCTGGCACTCCACACACTGTGGACTCCAGCCGCCTCAGAAAACCATACGGAGGGGTGAAAGCTGGTGGTCAATCAGCAATCCGTTTATTAGCTCTCACACAAGGGTTTTTATATATACATTTCAGGGGCCAGTCCACATATATCACATTTACCTCCTCAGGCCTAGTACAGATGATAATGATTTACATCTTCCCCCCACCCCACCCCCCCCACCCCCGGGGTGTATCAGCTCAGGCAAATGGTAACTGTTATATCCCTCATCCTCAACCAGGGTGCCTACGTGTGTGGAGTGCTGGAGCAAACCCCTGGGCCCCCGTGAACAGGGCCGGCTCTTGCTTTCAGGGGCAGGGAATTTGGTCAAAGTCTCAGGCTGGCTGCTGAGACCTCCAACACCCCTTTAGCACTTAGACACCACGGCTTTGGGCTGAGAGTCAGGCGGGTGAGGGAGACCAGCCTTGCCTGAGCCTGAGAGCCCAGTTTGGGCCAGTGTCATGAGTGGGTGCTTTGGCAGCTCCCAGGGGAAGCTAGGGGGATGGGCTCCCGTCCTTAACTGCCCAGTGCTTGCCCTGAGAAGCTCTACCTCCACAGAGAAGAACCCTCTTGAGTGCTGACCCTTGCCGTTCCCACCCAGTTCATAGTCTAGTTTGATTGCTCATTTTGTTTTGGGGGGAGGCACACCCAGGGTTGTGAGGGGTCACTTTTGCTAGTGTCCAGGGGGCGATATGGTGCTGGGGGTTGGACCTGGGCCTCCTACCTGCATCCCCACCTCTTTCAAATTTGGGCCAGACCCAGCTGTGCCTTGAGCCGTGCCGTGAGCCTCGTGGTTTGGTACTTGGAGGTCCCTGGGGTCACAGAGCCGGGCACCGGCTTCTTGGGCCCACAGCTCTGCCCAGGGGCCATCCATCTGTCGGTGGGTGACACGGTGAGGCAGTTCTGTTTGCTGGTCCTCAGCTCCACATGGGGACCAGCATTACTGGGCCAGGACACCTGTGTTTATCTGGGGGAGTCGCGATGGCATGTCCTTAGGGTGTGGGCAGCCAGGGCGCCTCTGAACTTGTTCTGGGTCATCTTCATGCCTCAAGGTTCTGTCGTGGCCACCAGAGGAGGGCACCCTGTCTGAGGGCTGCCCCCACTCACCCCCTTCTCTCCTCACCCGTCGGCAGGGGCAGGTCCCCAGTTTCGTGTGCAGAGAATGAGGGGCCCCCACACGGCATGCAGAGACCCCCTCAGATCCCAGCGTAGATCCACAGCATAGATCCCCTGCATGTCTGGGGGTTCTGCCAGGCTCTGGAGGTTGAGGGGGGAACCCCGGGTCTCTGTGAGTTGCCCCTCTGAGCTGATCTGTTGGTGCCCTGCAGGAGGAACGTGTGCGGGGGACAGTGCTGCCCAGGCTGGACGACAGCGAACAGCACCAACCACTGCATCAAACGTGAGTGCCCCATCCCTCCCCCCAACAGTGAGCAGAGACCCTAGAACTCAGGAGTTCCAGGCACACATGTGAGGAGTCTGGCTCCAACACCCCGTCTCTCATCTGGGGGTGGGGGGCTTTGTTCTCTCCCACCACCCATGGCTGTGCCTTCTGGACTTTGGAGCCCAATGACTAACAGAGATGGGGGCATCTGGGAGCCCCTCCTGGGCCTCTCTAGCCCCCCCCCAGGTCTTGGGGCCAACACCTGGGAATTCTACCCACTGTCCCGCCTAGAACCGCCTCTGCTGTCTGCTTGGCCCCAATTTCCTTCCTGCCCCCGGGCTCCCCCGGTGGCCCTGTGGTGTCTGGCCAGTCCTCTGGGTCCCTGGCCCTGATGGAGGCCTTCATCTTGGTACTCCTGAAACCCCCAAGATGGAGCTCCCCAAGGAAGGGTGCTAGGTCTCTGCCTCTCAGGGACCAAAGAGCTGATCTGTTGGTGTCCTGATCTGTTGGAGACCTCCAGTCTCAGAGAGCAAAGGCAAAGGGCTGGACTCGGGGAGGGACACTTATCCTTGGTGCTTCTTCTGTTGAACACAGTGTGACCAGAAGAGGGGGTGACCCCTCTCTGGAGGGGAGGGTGTGAGGGTCTGGAGCTAGAAGCCAGGGTGGGGGGGACCAAACAATTTAGGTGATTTGAGTCCCTCTGGGCCCACTGAGCAGAGTGGGGGTCCCACCCCACCCCCCGAAGCACTGCAGAGGGAGCCTCCCAGAGTTGCATGCACCCCCAAGTCCTCGAGGGTCTTGTTCAAGTGCAGATGCTGTTGCAGTAGGGTCACTGTGAGCAACAGGACCTTGGGGGAGGGAACTCAGGGCTGGGGAACCGAGCAGACTGGTGCGGAGATGGGGCAGGAGCAGGGTGTCCGAGCCGCATCTTGAGAGTCTGTTTTCCCGGTGGCTTGGGATTTCCTATGGCCACTGTGTCAGACGGAGTCTCCCTCTGGGGAGCTGAGGTCGTGCGTGTCCTGGCATAGCCTCGCCCTTCCCACTCTGCCCAGTGGGGAGACGTGGTTGGGGGGGGGGGGGAGGACATCTGTCCCTCTGCCCTTCCCCTCCCCTCGCTCCCCTGCTGCTCGGCGGGGGGGGGGGGGGGACCCTGACCCAGAACACAGCCTGCCTGTTCTCCTGGAGGAAGGAAGAGCCAGTGGGCTAAGCCTTTCCCCTTGGCACTGCTGCCCACTGGGGGCTGTGCCCCCTCCCTCCGCCCAGAGCACTGTGATTATGGCTATTTTTCTGTTAATGAGCTTAACGAGAACCACGTGAGCCACGGGGTTTGGCCCCGGATGGCGGGGCTGAGAGGGAGCTCTGCAGAATGTGGGGGTGCCTGGCTCTACACCCTGCTGGCCGGCCCCCTGCTCTGTGTCCCCCACCCCCCCATCCTTCCCCACAGCTGCCCTGCTGGCAGGAGCCGCAGCTGCCCTGCCAGGGAACGCTCCAGACTCGGCCCTGCAGTTTCACACATGTGGGTGCCTCCCCCCAGCAGGAAAGGGGGCGGCAACCCCCCGCTGCCAGGATTGGGACCGGATCTGTGCCCTGGTCTTGGGCTGGTATCTGTGGGCCCACCTGCTGCCCTCCCGGGGCCCCCTGGGTTCCTTGCACCTAGCCCCAGGTTGTTGGAACACCTCATTAGGCCATCTCCTGTGGCCTCATCTCTGTCCAGTCACTGGACCTTGGGTGAGGGGGGCACCGTGCCTGTGGTTGACCGTCGCCGGAAACCAGCCCCTCTGTGCGTGTTTAGGGGTTTGTGAAGACAGCAGACTGGGGCCTGGCTGGCCCAGCTGAGGGGCAGACGAGGGAAGCGTGGGGTGCCAGGGTCCTGCAGGGTGTTTGGTTTGGGTTTGGCAGGGATCTAGCCCTGGTTCTCCCCTGTGCCAGGCCGATACTCTACTGCCGAGCGCCTCGCTGGCCAGGTGCCTGGGTCCCGCGCGTAGTCTGGGCCTTGAGACAGCTGTGCTGTGTCCCAGACAAGCTCTCCCCAGCACTACCCTGACACACGCATTCCCTGGGCCCCTGCGGAACAGGATGGGAACATTCTCTGACTCGCAGAAGTCCAGCCTGGATGCACAGGGTCAGGCTGTTTGGGGGTGAGGAGGGCAGAAGGGGGTCCCTGCAGGGGGCAATGAGGGGCCTGGGGCTGCCTGTCCCCCCCCCCCCACACACACACTGAGCACCCCCAGCAGTCAGGCTCAAGGTAATGGGCTTTAGCTTCTGCAGCCGATCCTAGGAGTCGCAGGTTCGAATCCCAGCTGTGGTCTCCGGCAAGTGATTGTCCTTCCTCTAGTCATCGGTCATCGAGGTTCACCCCTATGTCCCTGCCCTGCCTGGGATCCTCTGAGAACACCCAGAGAGAGGGCTGCGGTCAGCTCTGGGGCCATCCAAGGACGCTTACAGGCAGGGGGGTTGCGTCTTCCCCATCTTCGTGCGGGGAACTGTGATTTGATAGTGGATCACAAGAGGCTGGAGTACTTTGTGACTCAGCTTCATCTGGATCATGGGGTGAGCATTGGGCCCTGCCTGTGAGTCACACGAGGGATTGGGGAGCAAAATGTCCCCCTCGAGGGCTGGTGTGCTCCATGTGCCCCATTCGTGCCTGGCCCTGATCTTGAGGGCAGCAATGGTGGTGGCTTGCAGCCCCCAGCCAGGGGCACCGAGGCCTGAGTGCACTGGGACCAGCCCTTCCAGAACACTCCCCGGTGTCTCAAGAGGGGTATGGCTCTCTTGGGGCACCCACAGAGCAGCATCCTCGGCTCTGCAGTGCAGGGTTCCAGCCCCTCCGCTGTCCTTATTTGGGCCGCTGCCTTGGTTTGGCACAAAGCACTTTCCTGCATTGTGACCGCGCCCCTGGTGTGCCCACCCCCTACTCCCCACCGTGCCCATGTCGCTGACCCAAAGGAGGAGACTGACCAGTTAGGTACGAGCCCAGATCTGGAGCCAGACCCCCTGGTTCACAGCCTTCTGCTCCACGTCCTTACACCCAAGGCTTGCCGCTGGCTCTCTCTTAGCCTCAGTTTCCCCACTTGACCCAGGGGCTTGGAAACAGTCCAGGCGCATTTCTAAATAAAGAGATGCGTGCAAGGGTGCTGGAGAGGTAGCACCGCATGTGAGGCATTTTGCTTTGCACGCAGTTGACTCCAGTCCCACTCCTAAACACACCTGGGAGTGACCCTACAGCCTAGAGCAGGGGGTGTCTTCAAGCATCACTGGGTATGACCTCCCACAAAATCCAAAATAGCACTGTAGCACTGTCCTCCCGTTGTTCATCGATTTGCTAGAGCGGGCACCAGTATCGTCTCCATTGTGAGACTCGTTGTGACTATTTTTGGCATATCGAATATGCCACGGGGAGCTTGCCAGGCTCTGCCATGCGGGTGGGATACTCTCGGTGGCTTGCTGGGCTCTTCGAGAGGGACAGAGGAATCAAACCCAGGTTGGCCACATGCAAGGCAAACGTCCTACCAGAAAACCCAATTTTTTTTTTTTTTTAAAAAGGGTGCATATAAAAAGCAAACACTTTCCTCATAGTAAGTGCTAGACACATGTTAGGGAGAAGGCCAGGCCAGGCCTGGGCAGTGCAAAGACTGTGGGGCTCCGAGGAGGAACACCCAGAGACAGCATTGGCAGAGAGGGCACTGGGCAGGGGCCCAGAGCAATAATCATGTAGCTTCAGGGGAAAATCTTTCACCTTCCCGGAGAGCAGTTGGGCACCCCAGGCCTCTGCTGCACTGAGTGTTTAGGATGCTCTGAGCCTGAGCTCCAGAGCCTGCCACTGCCCCTTAATAACAGCCCGGCGTGGTCCCCTCTACCTGCGTGTGTGGTCTTGTCATTCCGTGACCTAGTTATTTTCTTCTCCGCTCCCGGCTCCCGGCTCCTTCTTTCCCACCGACATCATTATGTTGGGCTATCCCAGTACTTGCCCCCAGTCTTTCCGAGTGGCCTCTGCACAGAGGTGGGGGGCCCTGGGGGCCATACTGAGCATGAGTTGTCCCCCTCGATTGAGCCCCACAGACACTGCACCTTGACAGCAGCGGCTGTCGGGGGGTGCTCTGTGCCCGGGGCCAGCTAAACACCTGAACGCCCTTTCACCCTGCCAGTGACCCTGTGCTGGTCTGCCCTGGTCTTTCCCAGGTCCCTCTGGCCCTTTCTCCTCAGCCCAGCAACTCCCCATTGGGTTTCCCAGGACTGGGTCCCAGGCCCTCCCCCCCTCCTAGCCGCCCCCCCCCCCCCCATCGGCCTTTCAACGCCCCTGCTGGAGTGATCTAATGCATTCCCGCGCGTGTAAACATGCGGCGCGGACACCGCCCAGACGGGGAGATCTGTCTTCAGCCAGCCTCGGGCCGCCCTCCAGCCTCCAGCTCGCTGCCTGCCTGCACCACTTCGGCTCTCGGGGCCTCCCAGACCTGGCAGTCCCAGCCTGTCCCAAACGAGCTCTGGATGTCGCTCCCTCTGAGCCGTCTTGCCTGCCAGTCTCGCCCACGCTGTTCTCCGGGCACCCCCAGCTACCTGACTGCTCAAGTCAGACTCCTGGGGGCCCTTAGGGACCCTCCCCCCCCCACAACACACACACACTACTTGCTGGGGCTTTCTGTATGAACCATCCCCATGCCCTGCATGTTTGACTTCCGTATCTCGGGAAATCATTTGCTTCTCCTGTCATACTTCTTGTCTAGGGAGCAAGCAAGCGGGTCTGGGTGAAGAATGCAGGGACAGGGCCCCGAACTCTGGCCTCCAGCCGGTGTAATGCCAAGCTCAGCCCGGGGAGCTAGCACACCACCGCACACCACCGCCTGCACTCCAACTCTCTGCCGGCATCCAGCTGGGTGCCCCAGCCTCCTCTCTCAGCCCCTGCACCCTGCTCCCAGCCAGGCATCTGGAATGTGCCACCTCCAGGCTGTCTCCTGGATTGGCTGAGCTCCCCGCTTCCTCCTCGGGGCTCCCACCCCCGATGGCATTCACTCTGGACCTCAGCCCATGTCTCCTCTGTCACCCACGCCCTGGTGTCGGGTGTCCCTATTTGTCTGCTTGCTTTGCGACAGTCTCTTGCACTTAAAAGCTCCAGGAGGAAAAAGGACAGTGCGTGCCTGGCTTGGCTCATTGTCCTGGGCACAGTGTCCATGTCGAGGACACGGTCATGTGGGGGGGTGGCACTGAGGTTACAGAGGGAAAGAGATTGGCTCAAGGTCCTGCAGCCGGAATTTAAGCCGACCACTGGCCGCTCTGTCCTGTGTTTCTACCTTGACCTTGGCTGGACTCTGGGTGCAAATATGACCCTTCCCTCATGACATTTGGGGGGCTGGTCATGGAGCCAGTGGGTCCGCGGGACATTGTGCCCCTTCACTGTCCCTAGGGGAACATCTAGCACTGCGGCCTCTAAGGCTCCCAGCCAGGCCCCAGATTGTGAGATGGGTATGTGTGTGTGCATGTATGTATGTACATGTGTATGTGTATATTCCTGTGATGTGTGAGTGCATGCATGTGTGATCGTGCATGCATGGGCATGTGTGTGAGTATGCATGCATGTGTGCATGTGAATGTGCGTATGTGTATGTGCATGTATGTGCACATGCATGTGTGTATGTATGTGAGTGTGCGTGCATGTATGATTGTGCATGCAGGTGCATGTGTGTGAGTATGCATGCATGTGTGCGTGTGTACATGTGAATGTGTGCATGTGTGTGCATGCATGTGTGTGTGAGTGTGCGTGCATGTGCCTTTGTATGTGCACGTGAGTGTGCATGCACGTGCCTGTGTGTATATGTGCATGTGTGTGCATTGTGTGTGATTGTGTGTACATGTGCCTGTGTGAGTGTGAGTATGCATGTGTACATGTGTGCATGTGTGTGTACATGTGCCTGTGTGAGTATGTATGTGCACATGTGTGCATGTTTGTGTGAGTTTGTGTGGATGTGCCCGTGTGCATATGAACAAACACATGCGTGTGTATGTGTGTGTGTCTTCTTTGATGCAGGAGGTAGCGCAACCCCTAGCCTGTCCAGTGATGTTCTCCCTCACGCCTAGCTGAGTCTCTCTGCCCCAGTCCCGGCCCCCAACCTCAGACTGGCCCAACATTGCGGCATTTGTTAATGCGATTAGCAGGGCGGTCCGAGCTGAGGGGCTGGGGCCAGGGTCTGACTCACACCTCCCCTTCCTCCCCTCCGGCCGCCAAACAGTAGAGGCCCCTTGGCCTGCCAGACAGCGTCTGCGGAGCTGTGCGAGGGGCCAAGAACTGCATCTTTCTCTCATTAGAGGCTTTTATGCGAACACAACTGCTATTTTGGAGCTGGGCGCTTAGCCGGCCCCTGAGCCCCTGTCCAGTTTCCAGCCACCCCCAAGCTGTGGTCCGGGCTCAGCTGCGGTCAGCCTGAGGCCCTGACTTCTCCACCAGCCTGGGAAGGCCACTGGGCAGAGCGTGCATGAAGAGTGAGGTGTCCAACACACATTCTTGGACACCCAGGGTGTCTGGGACACACTGGGACTTCCCTGGCCTTGGGGGTCTCTGATATTAGGGCCCCCTCTGTGTGAAAACCAATGACCAAGGCTGTGTAGAAACAGTTTAGGCCACAGACAGAATCCCCACGGTGAGCAAATCCAAAGACCAGCAGGAGAGAGCCTCGGTGGGCTGCCCTGGGAAGAACTGAGGTCAGCGGTGAGGAGGGGCAGAGACTGGCCTCAGTGCGGAAGGTGACAGGGCTCCATCTCTGAAGGGGATACTGGGGACCAGAGAGAAAATATAAGAATTAAGGCAACTCACCTTGCACGTAGACGTCCCAGGCTTGATCCTTGACACCTCCTATGGTTCCCGAACACTGCCAGGAGAGACTCCTGAGCACAGAGCCAGGAGTAAGCCCTGAGCACACCTGGATGTGACCTTAAGCCGCCCCCTTCCCCTCAAAACTCAAAAGGGGACCAGATGCTGGTTGCCAGGGCTCTGCCCCACTGACCCAGGCTGAGGAGAGAAGGTAGTTTAACCTGGCCTGGCATAGCAGATCTTTGGGTGTTGGGGAGTTGGGCCCAGAGTCTGATCTGGACCCAAGGCTCATCTCCCCAAAAAAGAAGGGGCACACTAGAAGGAGGAGGGGGCAGGCTTGAAGGGCCCTCTCTAAAACTAGTGTCTTATCAAATCAGATTAGATGAAGGGGTAGGGGGCTCTGGGAGCCAGAAAGGGCTAATGATGAAGTGAATGCTGGACTGAGTGCGTCTGGAGAGGGGACCTTGCGGCCTTCTGTCTAATCAGGTCTTCACTGACGGGTCTTTCTCATAGGGCAAGGGTCATGGCCAAGTTTACAAGCAACCTGGCTTCAGTTGCTGGGACTTGCATGGCTTTGTTTGCTTTTAAATAGCTCAGAATGGATCACATACTTAATTATTTTTATGGGTTTGTTTTGAATCACCGTGAATTACAAAGTTACAAAGATATTTGTGATTGAGTTTCAGGCATATATTGTTCTAATACTGATTCCTACCCTCCACCAATGTCCCTGTATTTGTGTGTGTGTGTGTGTGTGTGTGTGTGTGTGTGTGTATCAAACCCAGGAGCTCATACATGCAAAACATGTGCTCTCCCTCCACCCCTCTCTGAACTGCAACCCCAACCCCTATCATGTTTTTACCAAAAAGCTTCCAAAGGTTGTGAAATAGAAGTTTCTCTGATGACAGAGATGTTCTGGATCTTGCTGTTCAACATGATAGCAGAGGCCACATGTGGCCCGTGTGAATTGGGAGCGGAGTTTTTGGTTTTGTTTGGGGGCCACACCTGGTGGTGCTCAGGGACTACTCCTGGCTCTGTGCTCCGAGGTGCTGGAGATGCTTGGAGGGACCATATGTGGATCGAGCCCGAACCAGGGGAGCGCAAGGCAAGCGGCCTCCCCGTTGTACCCTCACTCTGGCTGGGAGCGGATGCTCTAAAGTGGTCATTAAATTCAGTCTGTTTCACTATAAATAGCCATCGTAGCTCTGGCCCCCCAGTGAGTGGCTGTATTGAACACTGGCGTTTGCAGAGAGCCCAGAGTGCTGTCACAGACATCAGCTCTTGGAGTCTAAAATCGTGTCCAGTTAGTGGCTGAGACCATGGTGGAGGCCTATGAGAGGACACCCCCATGGTCACACCTCTGGGTCCTCCTGCCTTCCACCACAGAGGCACTGGTAGGTGCTTGGGGTGGCTTGGACAATGGGAGCTGTTTCCAGAACCTTCCCCAGGCTCGTCTATACAGCTTTGGTCTCCTCCCAAGGGTAGGGGTTTTGTGTGGAAAATCTGAGCAAAGTTGCTCCACTGTGTCTGGAACCGAGAGAAGGTAGAAGGGGGCACGGCGCCATCTGTTCCTTACTTTCAAAGCCATTTCAGGAGTTTTCTTCTTGGCATCCTGCTCACCCCGCAGAGCTGAACTCCCCTAGCTGAAACTTTCCACAGGCCCAATTCTCAGCGAGGAGGGCGGTGCCAGGCAGCATGCTAGGGAAAGACCAAGTAGTGAGGCTCAAGTTATGAATGGCCGAGGTCAGGGACGTTGGAGCCAGCAGTGCCTTCTGGAGGCTGGGGCATGCCAGGGTCTGTGGGGAAGTCCCGTCTAGAGAAGACTAAATAGTGGACACGGCGGCGTCAGGAGTGATGACCCAGCCCTCCAGTCCACCACCATGGCTGTTCATGTCTCCCCATTGTATGTGACCTTTGCTCCTGAGCAGCTCGGGAGGGCAGGGATCTGGAGACAGAGCACGTGGGCTTCTGGGACAGCGCAGAACAAAACGCCTGGACTTCTGGGTCTTTCTCTCACCACCCCCCCCACCCCCTGCCCAGTCCTGTCTATAAACTCCCCGACATGCGGCGCTCCCATCCTTCCAATTATGAAATCTGCACTCATTTGACATAGGAATGGTTTGCTTTGCTCGCCCTGTAACAAAGTGAGCTGTAACAGTCGTAGCTACTGTCGTTTGCTTCTTCCCAGCCAGTGGGCAGAACCCTGTGAGCCTGGGTTTCGTGCAGCCCCGGTGAGCTACGCCAGAGCATCCTAGGAACAGAAGCATGGATGCCAGTTTTTCCTTTTTTGCCCAGTGTGGTTACTAGAAATACAAACTACCGTTTGTCATCACCTTTAAAGAGAACATATTAATACTTTTTTTTCTTAAAGTAGCAAAGACATAATCTCAAATGAGACACTTTTATGTGGAAAACGCCAGGGAACTTTTCATTTCTCTGATTTTATGGCAGGTCCACGAGAACTGCTGTAGAACTGACTGGAGAAGCCACCTTTTGGAGCCATGTGGGTGTGACTTTAGAGGGAGGGGAGGGAGAGGAGAAACATTGATGGCCTAACCCTTTAATGTGTATTCTCCACTCAGTAAAATATTTCTTCTTTCTTCTTCTTCTTCTTCTTCTTCTTCTTCTTCTTCTTCTTCTTCTTCTTCTTCTTCTTCTTCTTCTTCTTCTTCTTCTTCTTCTTCTTCCCTCTTCTCCTTCTCCTTCTTTTCCTCCTCCTCCTCTTCCTCCTCCTCCTCCTCCTCCTCCTCCTCCTCCTCCTCCTCCTCCTCCTTCTCCTTTCTCTTTCCCTTCCCCTTCTCCTCCTTCCTTTTTGGGTTACATCCAGTGATGCTCAGAGGTTACTATTGGCTCTGCACTCATAAATTATCCCTGGCAGTGCTCCGGGGGCCATATAGGATGCAGGAGATTGGAACTGAGTTGGCTGCAGGCAAGGCAAGTGCCCTATTCACTGTACTATCACTCTGGCCCTGGGGAGTATCTTCTTGATAAGACTACTGAAAGCAGCCAATCACAAACTAAATGACAGTGCAGAGGGTTGGTTTGAAAGCTGAAAACCTGGAACAGGTCAGAGGCTCCTTCTCAGCACATCTGACCTACCTCTTTTCCCTTCCCCAGCATCTGGCTCAAGAAGAGTCTCTTCTTGAGTGGGTTCTTTTCTGATTGGTTCAGAGGCCTTCTAGTGCTTTAAGTTACATGCATGAGGCCTGGACCAGCCTCATAGGGTTTACAGAAGCACTGCCAGGGTGACCCAGGAGGTTCCTGAGCCTGCCCTGGTGACCCCTGGCATTGCAGGACCTGAGCGGCCCTGCATCCTCAGACCCTTACATGGAACCATCCAGCTCAGTTGACTGGACATCACTGGGAGTGACCCCTAAGCACTGCCTAGGAGGCCCACCATAGTCACATGCAAAACTTTATGAGAGATATTAGTTGGAAATAGACATACCTTTCAGGGGAGAGGGTTGGCCACACCCTGCTGTGCTCAGGGCTTATTCCTGGCTCTGTGCTCAAGGATCATGCCTGGGAGACTTGGGTGACCCTGTGTAGTACTGGGGACCTCAAAAGGCAAGTGTCTTTGTACTAGCTGTCCAGCCCATAAGGCCTTTTTTTTTTAATGTAGGAGTACTGCTGTTTATTCAGCCATTGATTAAGCTGATTGAATTGCACACGAACTCCACGTTACTTCTTTTTTTTTTTAATTGAATCACTGTGAGATACAGTTATAAAGCTTTCATGTCTGCCATAAGACCATTTTTATGGCTTTACTATTTGCCCTGAGCTATTACTCACACCAACTAATGTGTTCAGGCCGGGCTTGTCTGGTGACCTAACTCCCCGCAGGGTGAGGGACTTTGTGGTTATGAGAGCCCACTCAGGGGCTTCCTCCATGCAGAGACCTGACTTGTGACCTTTGGACTCCTGGCAGTCCGTTTCACTGAGAGCCTTCTCCCTAAACCTTTGCAAAATGGATTGTGGGAAGGCAGGAACCTGGGTAAGAGAGTGACCTCAGGCCACAAGCTGGGCCTGTGGCATGTGGGGGCTTGAGTGTCAAGAGTGGAAGATCTTCTTCAAGTCCAGGACAGACACCCCCCAGGGCCCAGGAGAGGGGAAAGGGGATACAGTGATTTCAAAGCCCACCTTGAGGGCCAGGCCTGCCCATTAAGGGATGAGCAGGAGACACAATAAGGGGGTGCTGTGTATCTTATGGCACCCAGGTTTTGAGGTTCTGCCAAGGTCTGGGGCCATGGGTCGGAGTGGGAGTGCATTTCTAGTCCACATGAGAACCATGGCAGGCTCCTTTCTTCTCTGCCCCCAAAGAAACCAGGTCTGAGACCTGTCCCACCCCTACCTGCTTTTTCAGAGAGCCCTGGTTGGGTTGCAGGGGGGACTGTCTCTCACTTCCGTACTCCTCCCCTGCCTTGTGTGAACGTTGTGGTCAACACACCACTCACTCCGCAGTGTCCTAGCTCTGGTGAGAGTGCTTGCTGCTTGAAATCTGGGTCCTTTCTGCTTCTTGCCTCTCTCCTAGTGAGTGCCCGGGCCTGAGCTGGTACCAGCCTCCTGCACAGGGTGAGTGAGACCCCAGGAACTGAGGTTTCCACCACCAGAACCAGCCTACCACGTGCCACTCTCTGGGTAGGTTGCAGGACTAAGTTCGGAGGTGGCAGAGAGGAAAATTCATATCAGCCCTGCTAGGAAGAGATGGGTGTGGGTGGGGGGAGGGGCTGGGATTTTCAACCCAACAGACCGAGCCTGGATCCCAATCCACCATGGGCTAAGCTGACTTAGAGGCATTGGTATAAAGGGGATCCCAAATGACCGCTAAGAGCTTCTGAGCTAGTTGATGAGCTGGAATCCTGGGAGCCTCAGAGAGAGAGGACACGGGCCGGGGTGTGTCTTGGAGAGATTTCTTCCCATGGGCCCCTGGCATCAGGAAGTTCTGGCTCCTGTTCTAGATGGCGGGGTGGAGTGTCTGGCAAAGACACTGAGAAAAACTAAGGCTGTCCAGGGCCTGCAGGATCTGCCTCTGTTTCCTAGCTGACCTGGGAGGTCCATGCACTCTAGCCCTCCTGGGATGTGCCACACGCCCACCACTTCCAGAACATTGAGCTTGTCTGTCCCTCTGCCCAGAATATTCTGCCAAATCACTGCCTTTCCGGCCCCTTTGTGTGGGTCCCGCCTTAGTCTAAGGAGAGGCCTTCCCTGGCCTCCTGATCTCAAGTGCCTGGTTGGGTGTATAGCACCCTGTGTCTCCTGAGTGACCAGCTTTAGGCTGGTGGTTCCTCAGGAGTCCATGATAGGGTCACATTCTTGTTTCTCATCTTGGTCTCCCCGACTCCATGGCTAACTTTGAAGATGGATTGTCCCTTTGCCCTAGCATACAGTAAGCACATGAATATGCTTGCACACACACATATACTTTTTTTAAAGAAAAAGTTGTTCACAATAATTTATTGCATTAAAAATTATAACACCAATCCCACCACCATTACACCTTCCCTCCATCATTATTTTTTTTTTTTTATGTAGGAGTACTGCTGTTTATACAGCCACTGATTAGCTGATTGAATTGGTCATGAACTTCACACACATATACTTTTAAAATCAATTTGTTTCCCCCTTCTCTCTAGTGATGTTGCTGCCGTGTCCGGGGTCTCACGCCTGCCCGGCCATGATGCTCACACACTGGATGGTGATGCTTGTGGGACATGTAGCCCTTCAGTCGTAGAGCTTGCCCATAAGGTGCCAGGGGTGCCACCCTGAGTTGTAATTAACACATTTGAGTGAATGAGCCTGTGTTTTTGAGCTGATGAGTGACAGATGGAGGAGACCCTGATTAGAGGCCCCAGGCTCTCCTGAGTTCCCTCTTCCTTGTCCCCTGGTGGGTGGGTGGGTGGGGGGTGTTGGGGAATGTTGCTGGGAGTCGTTGATCAGGATGTGTTGCTATCATGGATTCTCCCATGGCCTGGTCACTGGAGTTTCCTCTAGATTTTGCCAGGTTATTAAGAACAGTGAAGGGACAAGTTCTGAGCCCCCCTCCCCACCCCGCACCCCCCATGTCTGTGACTGCAGTTCTGTGCCAGCCTGGAGGAAGTAGCCCAGTTCATGTCCCACTCTGTCCCCACGGGCTAGAGCTGCACTCCAGGAGGCAGAGTCCTTCCAGCTGCCTAAGTTACAGCACAGACAGTGAAGCAGTGAAGGGGAGAGCAGGAGAGTATGGAGTAGAGAATCATACCGAGAATGCCTTTGGGAGACCCTTGGGGTTCCCCCCAGCTTTCTCAGCCCATCCCATGCCTAACTCAGGAGCTGATAGGCTCAGTGAGATCAAGAAGACAAGGGCTCAGGAATTCAGAAAATACTAACAAGTCCAACCACTCCCAGCTCCCAACTTTCAGTCAGTGTTGAGCCTTTTCCCATGAAAGAAACTCATCCATTCAGCCATCCATCTGTACATCCTTCTTTCCTTCCTTCCTTCCTTCCTTCCTTCCTTCCTTCCTTCCTTCCTTCCATTCTTCCTTCCATCCATCCATCCTTCCATCCACCAATTTATCCATCCATCCATCCATCCATCCACCCATCCATCCATCCAAGATTTGCTCTGTGACCATCTCTGTTCCCAGTTCAGGGCCTACAGGAGGGAACAGTACAGAGATGTCTGCCGTCTCAGACTCCCCGTCGGGTAGGAGATGCGGAGAGTCTTCAGACGTGGGCCTGTCGGTGCTGCTGTGTGCGGGTCTTCTGCCTCTCTATGGCTCCCATCTGGGTTGCTCACTGATTGTGCAACCCAGGCATCAGGGAACTTGCTCTGGAGGCCAGTGGGAGAAGGGCGGACCTGAGACTGGCTGCCCCTGACAGGAATGCCCCCTGCTCTGTCTCCCCAGCCGTGTGCCAGCCGCCCTGCCAAAACCGGGGCTCCTGCAGCCGGCCCCAGCTCTGCGTGTGCCGCTCCGGCTTCCGGGGAGCCCGCTGTGAGGAGGTCATTCCCGAGGAGGAATTCGACCCCCAGAACTCCAGGCCAGCACCCCGGCGCTCAGTGGAGAGCTCACCTCACGTGTGGAGGAGCAGCGTGTCGAGAGAGAGCCCTGAGGCCAGACGTGGACCGTCAGTGCCACAGCCACCACCAGCCAGGTAAGTGCTACCTCCCAGGGTCCCTGGCTCTGTCTGGCCCAAGGCTTGTCCTCCTGTCCTTCCTCAGTCCCTAAAGGTGAGCAGGGTGCGGGTGTCTTTGGCTGCTGGGAAGCAGCTGAGAAGGTCGTGTCAATGGCCAGGCGCTCCAGTCTCAAATGTCGCCATTTCCCGGGTAGGTGGTCTTGGCCAGGCCACTTCCTTCTTTGCTTCTTCAGCCTTGTGGTGGGGACAGCCGTGGTGACCCTCTCACAGCACTGCTGTGAGGATGAAGTCAGTTACCGTTAAAGAGTTGTGCCTGGCACCCAGAAAACGGTGGTCCTTCTCCATCTCTCTCTGCGTGTGGTCCCCTCTGCCAGACAGACCCCTCCATTCTCTCCGTACCCAGGGCTGCCTCTCCTTGGAGGAGAAGAGAAGGCACATGGAAGGAAAGGGGTGTAATTAAATAAAAAAGGGGCAAGGAGCATGCCACGGGCAGAGATTCCTGGCCTGTGTGCCAGCCACTTGGCCAGACTCTAACTCAGGACAGGAAATCTGAACTTTGTAAATGGGGCCATTGCTAGGGGGCTGTGTTTTCTTTTCTTTTTCTTTTTCTTTTTTTTTTTTTTTTTTTTTTTTGGTTTGGGGGTTTCTTATTTCCATTTACCGCCTGCTTTGGAACTTCTTTCTTAGGACATGTTGCGAACTTGCCTTGCCCAACTAAGGAAAAAGGATCGACTGTTCCAGGCTAGAGAAGCAGAGGCGGGTGGGGGAGGGAGAGGAAGGCAGGAAGGGGGCTGCAGGTCAGCCCCTCGGGCCCTGGGGTGAAGTTGGGGCACAGGGTCTTGGTGGGGGGGGGGGGGTTCCAGGTCACCAGAGCAAGCAATTTCCAAAGGCGTTCAGGAGCAGGAAGGCTGGAAGGATGAACTCAGTTTGAGGCCTAGATAGCTCCAAGGTCAAACTCAGAAGTGCCCACGCCAGTGGCCATAGCCTGGGGCTGCCAGGCGGGGGTGGGGGACTGAGGGGGTGGAGCTAAGCTGCCAGATGGCCTGGGGGTGGTCAGGACTGGGTGGGCCAGTGCCAGGCTAGACCTGAGCTATGTGCCTACTGGTCCTGGCTGTGTGGGTCCCTGGCAGAGGGCCTGACACGTGGATGGATACTTGGTGTGCCCTGCAGCGGTGCCAGCTCCAGGGCTAGCCAGGGCTGACGGGAAGCAGGGTCCTTCCTACTAGGCTTTCCCCGGGCTGACTGTAGACAGTTGGGGTGCTGTCATTGATGCCTGTGTTCCTCTCCAATGAGTGTTAAGTGCACTGGGGGCAGGGGGTGGGGTGTGAGGTCGGGGCGGTTGCCAGCACCTTACTGAGCTAGGTGACCTCCCTGCCTCATCTCTCCAGCCCGCCCCACTCCCCCTGCTCTTCAGGGTCCCATTTGCCTTCATCCCCAAACCTTCCCCCACCATCGCCTCCACCCAGTGACCTGACCCTGCGGGGCCCACTTGGCACACCTCCTCACGGGTCTGCACCCTGAGTGACCAGGAGGACGGCAATCCTGTCTCACACTCTTTGGTGGAGTCCCCACAGCTCGGTTCTGGCTCATAGGAAGTGAGGACGCGGTCGCTCAGGCCAAATGGAAGAGTTGGCCCGACGCGATCCCCCTCATCCCCGCCCCCCAGCCTGCGCCTGGAACTGCAAGGCGCCCCACACCCACACACTGCACCAAGTGCAGGATGAAGGGGGGTCCCAGGCTCCTCTCGGGAGCATGTGTCCCCGCGGGAACAGTCTGCTCCTTGACACCAGTCCATTCTTTACCAGCCCGTGGCTCCAGGAGCAGGCGCTGAGGCTGCCAGGGAAGGAAAATGGACCCAGTGAGCCCGAACACCCAGGGAAAGTTCCGCAGGGCCGCAGACTAGAGGCGCTGGAGGAGAACGGGGCAAGCTCTGGGCCTGTGGCAGGGCCTTCCTAGCTCGCTCGCACACAGACTACTGTGGGGCCTTTAATGAGCTGCAGTCTCGTCCTTTCTCTGCCCTGCGGCCTTCATGCCAGGCAGTCGGGGAGCGTCCGAGGGGCTGCATTTGGCCCAGCTGTGTGTTTAGCTTTGGGTCGCCAAATCCTGCCGGCCTTGGGGTCAGACGCTTCCTGTGCGCTTGGCCGGGTTCCCCAGGCCGCCGCTGGCCTGGCTCCTGCTAGCAACTTGGCCAGGTGTCGGTGGTGGCCAGACAGGGGTGACATGTTATGGGGATAGCCTAAGAGCGAGGGAGGAGGCGATACCAAATGTCCAGGGAGGGGCTACCCTGTGGGGAGGGATTGGGGGCAGAGGCCCCTCGCAGAGAGCAGGACCTGGGGGCCAGGAGACGTGGAAGGCGAGAGGGAGGTCTGGAGAGTGGGCCCACTGGCAGCTGGCCCGACCCACCAACCGAGCACCAGATGTGCATTGAAGCTGTCCAGCTGTGGTCTGGGCTGACTGTAGGGGCCTGGAGACTGCCCCCGCCCCCAGCCCCTGGTCTCAGGTTCTTCCCTGAGGCACGGGGCAGGGCCTCAGAGACCTGGTGATTAGCGCCTGGGCCCAGCAGCCCCAGGAGACACTTGGCATTAGTGCTTCTCCAACTGCAGCGGGAGGGAGCCAGCTGGGAACGTGTGTGTGAGCGTGTGTCTGTGTGTGTACGTGTGTGTGCATGTGCATGTGTGTGCGTGTGTGTGTGAGTGTGTGTACGTGTGCATGTGTGTGCGTGTGTGTGTGCGCATGTGTGTGAGTGTGTGTGCGTGTGTGTGCACATGTGTGTGAGTGTGTGTGCGCGTGTGTGTGCACACACATGCATGCATAAACCTTCCAGTCTGGGGTGGTCGTCTTCTCTGGGTTCCCTAGACCCCATCAGAGCAGTGAGTGTCAGAGGTTGGGCTTTGGTTCTAATCATCCTGGCTTGGAAGGTCTGGGTTTCCGGTCACCAGCCGTGTGCTTCTGTCCCCGGTCTGCTGGGTCAGTGATGTCCCCGAGAAAAGTTGCAGGGAGGAGTGAATGAATGAGCGCCCCCTCCCACCCCACCCCCACCCCCCCAACACACACACACACATCCCAGTCCTGTGCCTGGGATGAGCACAGGATCACAGCTCCATGGCTGTCAGCCGCCCGTCAGGGCTGAGCAAAGAACAGGCAGAAAACCGGGCTGCTTGTGTTGTGACTCAGCGTACATGTGTGCAAAGCTGTTCTGGGAACTGAGCCTCGGGGCAGCGTGAGCAGCAGATGCAGCACCCCAAGTGTCTGCTGTGGACCGGTGTCAGTGTGACACAGGGGTCAGAGGGGCTCCGACATTTCTCAGAATGAGAGGGGCCTCTGTGGGGGCGGCTCCTCAGTGGGGCTCTTGGGGGGCTCCGATGCAGGCTGGGCAGCAGGGCCCGGAGGACAGACAGAGGTGGCGGGTGTTGGGGAGTTGGGGCTCCCTGGCGGGAGTTCTCGGCAGGCTGTGTCCCCAGACAGCTGGGGCAACCTTCTCTGAACTGTGCCAGCCTCTCCCTCCGGGTCTCCTGCTCTCCTCTCTGCCCTCCCACCTCTCTGTCCACCGTATTTGCTTTCCATGGCTGCCAAATTGGAAAAAACTTGGGTTTTGGTTCCAATCACCCTGGCTTCCAGGTCTGGATTTCCGGTCAATCTACCGCACAGTCAGCAGCGTAGAATCACATACATATATTTTCCCAGTTTTGTAGGGGGAACTTTTGATGCAGATGCCTCTGAGTTAGAGTCAAGGTGTCAGTAAGTCTGAGTTCTTGGGGGCTCCTGAAGAAAAGGCTTCCTTGCTCATTCAAAATTCTTATCTTGAATCTCTCCTTCCCTACCCTCCCCCCTCCCCCACCTCTAGCTGGCTTTCCCTCACACATTCAGTTCCTTGTGGGCCAGGACATGGCTCTGATAGAGTGCAATCCTGGTGGCCTGAAGCCCTGGTTCTGTCTCTAGCACCGAAACCCAAACCAAATCAACAGAAATCAGTTCCCTGTAGCTGTGCCTCTAAGGTCCCTTTTGACTCGCTGGCTGCCATTTGAGGCCATTCCTAGAAACTGCCCGCGTTCCTTGGCTGGTGGCCACGTTCCTATCTGAAGCCTGCTTGGCTGGTGAACTCTCCTTGCTTTTCTTTGGGGAGGGAGGTGTCCTCTCAAAGGGTGCTTAGGAGACCTTGGGGTCCCTCCTGCGATTCTCAGGCAACTGGACTGGTAGTTCAGAGCTGCTGGTGCCTAGTGTCCTCAGAGTCACACCTGGAGTTCCTGTGGCCTTCCAGACCTGCCCCTGGAAATGCTCAGGGAACCATGTGGTGTGACCATCGAACTGGGGTAGGCTGCACGCTAGGCAAGTGCCTCAGCCCCTGGCTGTCTTTCCAGCCCTTTCCTTCTTCCCTTCCTCCCTTCCTCCCTCCCTCTTCCTTCCTTCCTTCCTTCCTTCCTTCTTTCCTTCATTCCTTTCTCCCTTCCTTCTCTCCTTTCTCCCTCCCTCCACTCTCTTTCTTTCTTTCTTTCTTTCTTTCTCTTTTTCTTTTTTCCTTCCTTCCTTCTTTCCTTCCTTCCTTCCTTCATTTTTTTCTTTTTTTCTTTCTTTGTCACACCTGGTGATGCTCAAGGGTCACTCCTGGCTCTGCACTCAGAAATTACTTCTGGCAGTGCTCAGGTGACCATATGGGATGTCGGGGATGAAACTCAGCCAATCGCATGCAAGGCAAGTGACTTACAGGGCTGGATTTTCCTGTAAACTCAGAGGAAACTCTCCTGGCATCTGATGGGTCCCTGTAATCCTTGGTGTCCTTTGGCTTATAACTACATCACCCATCCCTGCCTCTGTAGTCACATAACGTGTGTGTGCATGTGTGAATGTGTGTATGTGTGTGTGTGTGTGTGTGTGTGTGTTTGTGCGCGCGCGCGCACTTGCCAGGTAATCTTAGACACCAGTCACTGGATTTATGACCTTATCTCTGCCTAAGTACTCACATCTGCAAGATCCTATTTCCAAATAACTTCACCTTCATAGGTCCTTGGGGGAGAAGAGGG